TTCAGGCCACAAATGTCAAAGCCTGGTCAAAAAAAATGAGAAGAAAACTCTTAACTCAATGCACAACAATAATGCTAATTTTTATTAGTGCCTCTATGGCATTTCTTTTAGTATGTTAGCGCTAAGCTAATGGAAGTGCCTACATTTTTTTAGCTGTTCAAGACTAAACAGCTTGTAAAAGATACTACGTTTTATTAGACGTTTGTAACTGACGTTATTATATATTTTACATTTTTGTTGCATTTTTACAGTGACTCTTTCAGTAAAGAGTCCTGATATAGACCTGCCACTGCTTTCCATTTCTAACAACTGACTGAAACCTGGTTAGACTGTTGCTTATATTCACAGTCACTGATGTTTCCATGACTTCTAGAAGGCCTAGAGTGAGATTTTTTCTCCCAAAATTGGTCTCAGCCACTGGAAATCAAAACGTGATTGGTTGATTCCACTGTCACTCCATAATGATTTTGGTAGTGAATCGAAATGCCTTCATTTTAGCTCTTGAAGACCTAACCAATGGGAGAGCTTGCTTGGCTGTATCTACCTATATATCACAGAGAAAAATCCTGATTGGACAATTTTCCATTTTTCCAAAGCCTTCTCTGAGGACCTAGAAGGCCATGAAGGTTCCCTTCTGGTTGTCTGTGTTCATGGGTTCATTTGGATGATATGTTATTAGTGTCCACCTCCAGCTCCTACTCTCCTCAAACAAAGAGAAAGCAAAGCCTCCACACAAACAGGCCTGTGCTCTGGGATCAATTAGAGGTGCTTTTTGCCATGAAATTGGCCAAGACCAGCTAATACACAGTGAGTATGTGTAAAATCTACAGCAGTGAGATACTAGTGTGGATCAGGCTTGGTCATTTCAGACATGAATGTGCATGCCCCTCATGACCTGCCCATAGGAACCCATCAGCATGAGCCTCAACAGAGAGCAGACAGGATAAAGTGTATTGACTCTGTCTGGTACATATATGACCCACTGTCCTTCAAATAACACTAGGTGTATGTTTCATTAACCCTCTGGGGTCTATAGGCTTTTCTTGATTTTTGCATATCTTCTTAGGTTCACCTTTAAAGGCACTTGCATATAACACCATATCTATGCTCCGGTATCTTCGTACTACTTTCCAAAATCGCTGCAGCAACTTTAGCGGCTGTAAACTCTTTGCACACCATTTCATATGTGCCTCCAATGTCGACTGAAGAACGGAGAGTTTCCGACATGATGGGTCAGTCTTTAGTGATTTCCTGAGTGGTCAGTTTCACACAAAATGTAGATGGACACACAAATCCACCAGTTACACATTGTAAAAGGCAGATGACGTGTATCTCTACGCCATTTAATAGCCTCATAACTGCAGATGTGAGTCACAAATGATCTCGTGATGAGAAGGAATAGAAAGGGCAGAGTCTACACATTCAGGAAATGATTAAAGCATACTTCTGCACTGTATTATCACAAAGATAAAGAAACATACATACAAACATTGAATTTGATGTGTGAGTGCATTCGTGGACCCCAGAGGGTTGAAGAAATAATTTGGAGAAAAATCAAATTTACACAATTTGCCGCTTTTGTGGATGAAGTCGATCAGCCAAGACATGTTTGGCGTCCACATTTTTCTTCTATAGTTTAGCACTATAGCTATGAGGCTAACATTGCTAACAAACAATAGAAGTCAATGGTCACTCAAATCTTTTCCATAAATATGTCCTCAAGACTTCTCTTAGCACACAGACACAGCATCTAGGTCTTCAGTAAGTTTGCACAAACCTGTACAAGTGGTTTAGGACACAGTATGAACTATAAAAACGAACAAAACTTGTGTTCAAATTATGTCGCATTTGACTAAAGCTCTTACATCTGAATTTTACTCCTCTGACTAGTAAAAAACTGCGGATTCCTACTCGGAAATTCAGGATGGTGTTCTCAACTCTGTATAACATCAAGTCAACCTGGCTGCTCACAGCATTAACAGTAATAAAGAACCACTTCTGTACATTTAAATGAGATTATAGCAGCATTTGTTTTAGATCAGTCGGCATACAGACACAGTAGTTGGTTAAATCTACAACACTGACTAGAGTGTTTGCTGTGTTGAGAGGATAAATACATCATGAATGCTAAAGCTGTCACTCATAACTCCTAGCGTTAGCTGGCTAGCTTGTTGTTAACTAGCTGTCATGGAGGCATCCATGCTTTTTCCCCACAGTGTAGGTCAAAAGCACCGAGGTCGGACATGGCACAGTACGAAGTTCCAACTTCTCACTTCAGTACCGAGTCAAATGCAACATTATATGACTTATTTGCCAGGATTATGGTGTAATTATCCAAAAACACTGCATTGCTTGTTCTAGCAATTATTACCGTCTAGGTTTTGAAATGTGTGGCACAAACAGTAATGGACTACAGACATATCTACAGCCTTTGATGTTAAAAAATAATGAACCGCTGTCCAAGGACAGTTATCTTTCTCTTTGTCCCCAAGGCTTTTTTGTGCAGCTTTGAGGACATCAAAACCACGGCCTGGTCATTTAATGAGGCTGAGAACCTTTCAGAGTGTAGCCACTTGCAAAATTGATGATACGAATGAAACATTATTTTGTCCAGAAGACTATGTTCTGAACAAGAACACGCTGTACTGAACGACTCTCAAGATAACACGCTCTCCTCGTGCCTGAGTAGAACACAGGTACCTCACAGCGCTGAAACGCAGACATGAAAAGAAAATGACTGGGGAAAAAAGCAAGAAAATAATCGAGAAGTAACACATTTGTGCTGAGAATGGGTATAACGTGTCTTATCTAAGTGGCAGACTTGACTGAATGTTCAGGAAAAACAGGCCCAGCCATTAGCAGACTCTCAATGCAATATGTCCATTAACAAAATGGACATATCGCATTGATTAAATACAATGACCTTAGCGTACAAGTAATAAAACATCTTTTTTTTCCCCACTTTTTCTTGTGTGACCTGACCTGCCAGTGATGAAGCTCAATTTTAGAGATACACATAGAGGTCTTATGTATTACTCACACAGGAAGCTCTATCTTTTGTAGGAACTGGACATCATGACATAAAACAACAAAACACTCAATGTTTGTCTTAATCCATCTACAAAACTAAAAAAATTCATAGCCTTTTAAATATTCCAGAATACATGACTGGAAAATGATAAACAAAAGAGCTTTTAAATTAGGGCCCAATCAGTAGCACTGGGGTGGAGCTACCCGAAATTCTTTGGGTATGTGTAAATTCTTTGTGTGAATTATGTTGTTATTTTTCTTGAGGTTAGATTTTGATATATTTTACACCAGTACACTGCTATTAGTAATAGGAATACATGATGATATCAGAAATCCTATCCATTTCGCCAGATAACTGATAAATATTTAGATTCGACAGATATTTGACAGCAAATTCATTGTACTCTGGAAGGGCAGAGTGTTTAGTCAAAGCTGGCATACTTACTAAAAGATCCACTTTTTATTCATTTTACTACTTTGCTAACCCTCTACAACTACATTTTAAAGGGGACATATAATGGAAAACCTATTTGGTGTTTTGGTTATTTATTTAATTATTATTATTATTAACAAAAGCAGATGTGTAGTATGTAAACATTATTAAAGTTTCAAAATACACTTTTCTCCCCCCACTCTGTATGGTCCATACAGGTAAACTAAGCTGTAAGAACAGCCTGTGTTATAACTGCAGATGTTGTGATGTCACAACACCATCATATTTGCATATAGCCACTTACATATATTCAACCTCCAGCAGTTTAGCCCTGCCCATTTATGCTGAAGTTATAAGGAGTGTTTCATTCTGCTTTTTGACAGGCACAATACAGACTAGCCCATCAGAACAGAGGTCATTTACATGTATCACCCCTTAAAGGTACAGTAACAAAAACTGCCTGTTTTATTCAAACTGATAAAGAGAGGTTGGAATGGTCATGTAAAAAATTACACACAAAAAAGTTCAGGGTGGGGGGACATGGGCCTTTTACATTTCTCTTCAGTACTAATTGTGGTAGGTGTAGTCACAAGTTCTACATTTGTATGTACTGGGTTCAACATGAAAAATATTGGGATATGGACATTTGACCACTATTCCCATATCAGTGCATCCCTAATTATTAGTGTATAGTATGTGATTCTGGATGCATCCACAGAGTTAAATAGGGTGTGATTTACCTGTCATTTCTCAGTTTTTGACATACTTTGAAAATGAATGCCTGTTGTCCTTTATATTGTGTGTAAATTTCACATTTACATCAAAAGTAAAGTATGTTTTTTCCCTCTTTTTATATTTATAATAAGGATTGGATTTCTCATATAAAATAAATCAAATGTATAACACTCAAAATTAATTTTACAGGACCATCTCTAAATCCGTCAAACAGCCTGTGTTTATGTAAATGAACGCTGTTCTGATTGGCTGCACTGTGTTGTGGCATGTTCAAAAAGCATTCTGGACTGAAACACTTCTTATGGCTGCTTACAGTTATAGCTACTTATACCTCTGCGTGAATGGACGGAACTGCCTGCGAGCTGCTGTTTTAACATGTGGATGCCGTTTATATTGTTTCTTGTGACATCAAAATAATTAATTTCAAAGCAGCGTGTTTTCGTAGCTTAGTTCTCATATATAGAAATACATTTTCAAATATTGAAATATACACTTTAACTATGTTTACATACTAAATCAAAGTCTTTTATTTAAATCCGGAATTTGGGTTTCCATGACACGGGGCCTTTAACACATTCAGATATTTAAAACATCCAAATTACCAACGTTTCACAGAAGATGAATTTGAATTAGTTTTAATTCACACAAGGTCAATTTTAATCAACTTCTGTTGAATCCAGTAGTCGTGACAGCCCTATTACATTCATGATCTACTAGAACAGCTCACCATTTTGCTGAACGCTGACCAGCGCTGAACCACTGACAGTGAAGAGAAACACAAGGAAAACGAGCACCACATCGGTCTGCAGGGTTGAATAAGCCTACAACTTTTATTGCACATTCCTGTTTGGTTTTGCTCTGACCGTGTCCTGTGATGTTGCTTTGTGTAATCTGGAAAATACGCTTCGTCATGTCCTTTATTCCTGACAGCCCGGAGCCTGCGGTCCCTATACGGCAGACCCCCCTTCAATCCAGGTACATAATATTCCACTTTAAGGTTTTTTTCTCATTTTTTTTCTCTTTAATCAGTGACAATACCTGCAACATGCTTCAAAATCTTCATTTTGGCAAACCACAAATAAATTAAAACACAAACATTCATATAACACAATCTGACATTTAAGACATTAATGAAAGAAAAATGACAAAAACAGAAAAAAACACAAGTAAGATTTTTTTTCCTGTTCTTTTTTTCCCCCCATAGTTTTCCTGCTTTTCTTTGAAAAATAAAAAAAAATTGAAAGCTACCTAACAATCACAGACCACATGCAGATATAATACAATAGAATCATCTCACTTGTTTGGACAATTAATTCAGTTAGTGTCTGCAATCTACCAATCTAAACTATCACAAAATTATGCTCTTAAAGCCAGCAAACATCCAGTTTTTGAGATAACTTTGACCGGTTATAATTAGTCGATGTTATAGTATCTCCTCTTGCTACGTCCATACGAATATGCACATGACCACTTTTCAAATGACTGTCCAAACAGAGACTGGAGAAGACCAAGAGCGTTTGATTAGTGATCCGTTCTCTACCAGACGGACATCAAGTAAAAACCACATAGTCATCTGACATTTGTTTCTAAGCACAGGGACAAACCACCAGTTCTTTATACTGGAGTGTAATTCTTTCATCCACACTGCCTTTAAGCACATCCGGTTCCTCGAAACTACACGAGAAAGCTGTGACAAAAAATAAATAGTCATATCTTCAGCAGATATCAACAGCCCTTTTCTCTCTCATTTGCCTCAGGCCAGGCGTACACACCAGGAATTTTCCCAATCTTCGCCCTCTTTTAGTCTCAGAGGAGCGTTCTGAACTGCAGTGAAATACTGGTGTTTATTTTTTATGTATTTTTAGTCTAGTACAGGGAGCACTTTAAAGGAATACTCTAGCATGTCTTTAATCTGATCTCTATCTGCCACATATTTAGCATACGGTCAATTACCACGGACAAAAAATTCAACACGTCTTCCTGAACTTACGAAAGAACACAAAACTCATTAACAGGAAATACTCGTCCAATAGACGTCTATGGGCAGATGCTGAGTGTTCTGTTCTTGAACATGTTTTTATTTATCTATCTGGAATCATGATGTTGCACCAATTTATTTTGGGAAAGAAAATCGTGTCTGGACTCTTCCAGAGTAAAGGCTGTTATGACATGCCTTGCTAATAATGCGGGATCTTCTTCAATGACATGAAAGAGAAGGATGTCTGGAATTAAACTGTACAGTTCAAGCACCAGCATGGGCTCAGCAGTGAAATGCTGTACCGTGAACGCTTCCCTGACATACAGATTTTCTAAAGTCCATGTATCTTCTTGACCGAAACAGCATCAAAAAAACAGAATGCTTATTCGTTTGTTTTCTCCTTCTCCCTTTTTTGAAATGCCATGTTAATTAGCAGCATCCCTTATGACATTTAAAGTTCCCCTGAAGCACCAGAGGATATAATCAGGCTTTCTGCTACCAACTGCGCAGTCATGTAACGTGAAGCGAACGACGCACCAGGGACTGCATGAAGGAGCAACGAGAGGTGAAAAGTTCAAGCTATATGCAGTTTAGCTGAATTTGCCAGATCATAAGATATGAAGCAATTTCAGATCTTCTCAAGGTGATAGTCTAATAGCATATACTGGAGTAGCATTAGTTCAGGCTTGTTTGCTTTCTGCAGACACACTGAGGCTCGTGCCATTTTGGATTCATGCTGACATTTGGAGAGGCGGTCGATAACACCAAGGTGTGCCTCCCAGCATCAGTCGGGTCACTGAATGAGCTGCTAGCATTCCACACCACTGCTGGACAATAAAAAACACCCTAAACTGCTCCTTTTAGGTCCATCTTAATTTACCTCTTATCAACAGTGGCATCAGCAGGCGCATAGTGTACTGGCTAAGGGTTGTACTTAGGCCCAGTCTGGAGTCATAAAAGAGGATCTAGCATTTTAACTTTAAGGCTTGTCTACAACTAGAGTTTAATATGTTATAGGTTGTTTAATATGCAGTGCTATGCTCCTTCGCAATTTTGCATCATTTTCGTTCATCAATGTTCTCTCACTACAATTCCCAGCATGCATTATGCAAATACTTTGGGACATTCGGAATCCCTGTGGTGTCATCCAATCCTGACTGCAAGCCCAGCGACTGATCCATAGGCTAAAAAATATAACCAAGCCAGCATCAGTGTAGCTCTTACATCAGTCGTCAAACAAAAACACAAAGAAAACACTGATTCTGTTTCTATTCAGGACAAAATGGACACCAGGGGCAAGTTTTTTACCCTTTCAGCCAGAGTAACAAAGCCAAACTTTGGCACAGTATCTAGATAGCTAGCTACCTTTCTAAGTTCAGCTTTCAGCTTGTCATCCTCCTCATTTCTGTCATTTCTGTAATCCATTCTCCCCATTGAAACAATGATTTGAAGATAGCTACTACAGTTACACAGCTGGAATATGTGACTACAGTAACATTCGCTATCTGGCCTCCTTCTGCATTGTATCGTTTTCATTCATCAATGTTCTCTCACTACGATTCCCAGCATGCATTATGCAAATACGTTGGGACATTGGGAATCCCTGTGGTGTCACCCAATCCTGATTGCTAGCCTAGCCACTGATCTATAGGCATTAGTGTAGCTTTTACCTCAGTCGTCAAACAAAAAAATGCAAAGAAAACACTGATTCTGTTTCTATTCAGCACAAAATGGACACACGGGGCAGGTTTTTATATCCTTTCAGCCAGAGTAACAAAGGCAAACTTTGGTACAAAGGTAGCTAGATAGCTAGCTACGTTTCTAACTTCAGCTTTTAGCTTGCCATCCTCCTTATTTCTGTCATTTCTGTAATCCATCCTCTCCACTGAAACAATGATTTGAAGATAGCTACTACAGTTACACAGCTGGAGTGAGATATATGACTACAGTAACATTCGCTATCTGGATTCCTTCTGCATCCACCAGCTAACATAAAAAACTTCAGCCAGCCTGCAAAAATCCACCCAGAGTAGTTTTAGTTTTTAAAGTTCCTCTCACCTTCAAGATACATCATCAGAAGAGAGTTTCTTAGTCTTTAAACCAGAAAATCTCACTATAGAGGTGTTGCAAGATGCGAGTAAACAGGTTTACAACAGACGTATCAATGGCAGAGTCTTTCGTTTTGGTCAGAGAGTCCCTTTAAGATTAACAACTGAATAATACGCCTGCAGTTTAAGGTGCTGATACAGGCTCTGAGGCTCGGACCATTCTCCTTGACCCCTTGCAAGCCCTCTCTGCCTGAGCCATTTTGCTGCCTCTGCGCTGAGCATGATGAGGAACCGGAACAGTGATGCAAAGTCAGTGCAAGAAGAATTGGGCAGCAAATCAAAGCATGGCCACACCGCAAGGATAAACAACCCGAGCAGGTCAGTGTGTTCAATCTCCCGTATCAGAAAAACATCTTTTGTGTGCGACTGCAGTGTTTGGCTTGCGGGGAAATAAGCTGCAGCAGTGCCAAAACACAGTGTTGTCTTTACGGCTGTGCCAACGTGGGCCGCCAGTCCCCGCTGTAGCCATTACGTCACATAACTGATGCTCGCTGCTCTGAAGAGACTGACTTCATAAGCAGCGTTCATGCACGCTGCTAAAAACCACGTCACCACAGTGCTTAGCGCACGCTACCCCTGCCCTGCACTCAGTGTGCATTACGCCCACCTACACGCTGGGACTTTGACATTCGGTGCTGCCATCTGGTATCAAGATCATCAGAATTATAGGCTTTTGGTCTTCTCCAAAAAAAAGAAAAAGAAATAATATGTTAAATGACTATCAAGAATGGCTCACTACCACTCTTTTTTTAATCTTTACTGTACCTCTGCATAAGCAACGAGTGTTTTTTTTTTTCTCCATTAGAAATCAATCACCATCTACGCAACACAGTGATGTCTAAATTTAGCCACGCGCATGGAGAGAGATAGAGAGAGATATATATAGAGAGGGAGAGAGAGAGAGAAAGAGAAAGAAGAGCACAGCTCCACATAAATTACAATCTTCATGTTGCATTGAACTGTGAAAAATAGCACAGCCGAAGAAGAAAAGGAAAAAAAAACTGAACCTCAAATGTACTGTACTAATCTGCCTATCTATTAAATATTAACAGAGTCATTTGCATGTAAATGAAGGAAAGGCTGATGCTGTTCAGTGCAATGCGTCGTCAGCTCTAAAAAGAAAGAAAAAAGAGGAAAAACAGAGAAAAAGAAGAGGAGGAGGAGAAGTAGCAGGAGGAGTGAAAACACAGAGCACACTGATGAACACAGAGAGGTATAGAGTGATAGAGAGGTATAGTATAGAAGTAGGAGGTGAGGGTTGGGGCATGTCCTGTCCCAATACAGGGGCATTACATTCCTCAGGGCCTCATTCATTTCCACAGTCCTTCAGCAACAGACTGTCTTTTAGCGTAGTCCAATCCACAGCATTAATAAACGCAACACGTCACAGCCAGCGACTGGTCCATGGCACCTGGGTGAGGAATGAGAGATGAGCGGGGCAGGCGTGGTGGACGTGGTTGTGAAGAGTCAGCAACATTTGGAGGGTGCGACACGATAGCTTTTTTGTTGCGTTTTATTTTATTTCTTTTTTTTTTTTTCCATTTCAAGTTTGGTGGTGTGAAAAAAAAAACAATGAAAAACCCAACTCAAGAAAGCCACGTGGAGGAGGGAGGGAGAGAAGCTGCTGCACCGCTGGTTGAATTCGTCAACCGTCAGACACTGGAGGAGAAACCCAGCCGTACTTCTCGTGGGTCTTCACAAGGCTCTTGAAGGTGGCTTCAGCTTCCTTACGACTGAAGGCTTTCTTAGACTTCCCTGCTTTCCTGCAGATCCGGCCCTAGGAATGTAAAAAAAAAAATGGAAAAATTTGGTCGGAAACTGCAAATAAATGCAATAAAGAATACAGTAAAGATACAAGTGCATTAAAGATACAAAATACAATGTCTTGTACTTTATTTTTCTCTTGAGGTCCACTTAAAACATTTGTGTGGTTTTATGTGCCAAAAATTGTCATACTTCATTTCTCCAATCTCTCTTTAGCCCTCAGAACTGCACTTTTTATTACTGCACCTTTAAGAGTGATGTATGTAAATGACCTCTGCTCTGACTGCCTTTTATTTCGCCTCATTCAAAAAGCACTCAGAGCTGAAACACTCCATACGAGTCTGAGGGGCGGGGCTGAATAGGTGTAGTTGGGTCTTGTGACATCACAGAAACAATGGGCCTCATTCACCAACCGTTCTTAAGACGAAATTTCTTCTTAAAATACACAGTTTTTACAGATTCTGACATTCACCAGTGTTTTCTTACTTAAGGTTCTTAGGTAAGAACAGAATCTACACACACTCAAGAGCATAAAGGTGAGAACAATTCTGCGGTTTAATGAATCTGACGTAGAATAAATTTAAGAAGAAACACAGGAAGATATTTGTGAATAAGGCCCGACAAATTCAAAATGAGCTGCACTGTATGAATTGGGGAGTTAACTGTACGTTTGAAAGTTTAACAGTGCTTACATATTACTTCAAACCTTCCTTTATAGCAAATAAATCAGGAAAATTCGGTTTTCCTTGATACTGGCCTTTTAAAAAGAATGGTTTAATAGAAAATCAAATATACCATCTTACACAAACGTTTGAAAGTTTGAGCGTTATCTAAGTGATTTTATATATATATAAATAAAGGTTTGGGCACATGTCACATTTTATGTTTTTGTTTTCCCAAATAACTTAAATTGTCTTGACTGAAAATGTCTCATCTTTAGAGCATGACAGTGTGGGAAGAAAACCTCAAAAAACTTTACGGAAGAAGAAAAAAATGTTCTCAAATTTCAGTGTAAGTTAATGTGACGAAATTTTATTCTAAGTAATGCCACAAAGTAAACGGCAGCTGGCAAAAAAAGTACGAATTTGACCAGGAGTGTCCAAACTTTCACATGAGACTGCCTGTTTTTCTCCCTTACTTCAAATGTAGTCAGTGAGCCAAGATGTGTGGTTTTCTTCTTTAGTTTTGCACTGAAGCACTTTAGAAAATGTGGCTTATGTAGCTAAAAATTAATGAAGATTACCCCACCAATTAGCACTGTGCACACCTAAATCATCACACACTGAGCTCATGCTGAACTACATTTGTGGTTATGGAAAAATAGTGCAAATTTAGATTTTTAACCAAACTGATCATTTAATGAGCACAGAAACAAAACTATTCTTAGCTAACACCTTTTCAACTCACTGCAGGAACCACAAGAAAGCATGTTTCGACAAGCGACAGCTCACCTTGACAACTTTGTAAAGCTGAGGAACAGCTGATTTATCGCTTTAAGGAACCATCAGACCATGTTGAACTGTTCAGTAATCACTAAGAGACTTGCTTGTGAGCTTTCAGACACTGCATGGCACACAGTTGTCTATAAAAACTGAGTTGTGTCCAATACGATGGGCTTTAAAGGAACAGTATTTGAGATTACTTGACTGCTCCAGATATAAAAGTACATACTTCATGTGACATTAATGCAAGCAGCATTTGGCTTAAAGCATGCAGTTTACAAAATGCTAATTGTGTGCTATAGGCTTGCATTACATCTTAGCTACATAAGCCTCCATGTAGCTCCAGTGCAGAACTAAAGAAGTAAACACTGGACACCAAACATATGTTGGCCGATTGACTCGATTTAAAGGGGAAACTGTATAAATCTTATTTTCCCTTTAAAGTGATGAGGTTCGGTGCTGTTGGAGGGCTGTGACTAATCTCCCAGAAGCTGCAGTGCCGCAGGAAGGCCACGGTGTCCTCCAGCTTAAAGAGCGCTGCAAATCACCAGAGGACGCCAGGGGAAACAGCTAACTTCATTATGTAAGTAAACTGCTGTAGTGCTTAGTACTGCCTCCACAGTGAGGTCAGCCATTCTAATTGTGGTTAGGAGATACCAGGGTTTTCCAGAGACACCAATGGCATGAGTCCAAGTTCAGTTAAATCAAGATAATCTGATTCTGATGTGTAACGGCATAGCAGGAAACTTCCAGCAGTGTCGTGGAGCAGCAGTGGAAAATCGGACCCTGTTCATGGCTGTATCGAGGTTTATAATAAAAGGGCGATTCCACTGATTTTTCAAAATTTCTGTAGAGTTAAATAGTTTAGATGTAAGTCATTCAGAGTGAGTGTTGGTGTGAAATGGCCATGTGGTGGTGATAAGAACCAGACATCCGTAAGCTTTAATGCCTCTAAAAGCTCCCTCACAGTAAATTACTACAAAAAATAGTTACAAATATGCTGCTAAATAGTTCTGAGACAAACTTTTGGCCTAAAACATATTTTTTAAATCCATTCATGGTGGACAGATACATGCAACACGGATTCAGATTTACTCCTATTTTACTATTATCGACATTATATATAAAAACTCCCGTGTAGGTTCACTGGACAGTAAATAAAATAGATTTGCATTGTAAGCCTCATGACCCCTGGTTCCTATCTCCTCCACTGTAAAGAAATCAGAGTAAGGTGCTCCATCATGCACCATCAAACCACTATGAATGGCCTGGTTTCCATCTCAACAACTGAATTATGCAAATATTTGGTAGACGTTTCCTTTAAAGAAAGAAAAATACTTCTGATCATGATTAGTTGCTTTGATAAGACATTCTTGCACCAGCTGGTGAACGAAATGACTCACATTTGCAACTGTGTTGACTCACACTATAGAGCACATTGCCGCTTATAAAAAATATAATTCAGTCCTACAGCCTTTGCAGCAATAACCTTAATCATATGGCCTTGAAAGCCATTTAGTGTTCTCTCATTCTGAGAAGTGCAGGGGAGCGGTGCGCTTGCTGGGGTTTGATTTGCACAAAATGGCTGCTGACCATCAGACATAATTTTAAAGATGACTTCACTTAAGCCTTCAAATGTGCCTGGCATTTCAACAGAATGAGTGCCTACCTAAAACTGTAATACCTTATTTTTTTCTTATTTCTCTTCACATTTCACTAAATGTTATTATCTTCCATCGCTGTTCTTTTTTTAATCATCAGTAGCACAAACACAAAGCGCTCTTTATATCATTTTAATAATGAACTAATTAGGTTGCCAGAGGTTTGTTAAAGATTCAGCCTCAATTTGAGGCCTACAGGCTGTGTGGGACAAACAGATATTTGAGCTGACAGCCTGGTTTCTCACACACAGGCAGCAGCATATTGACAAAATGTAATATCTTGATTACATTGCTACATTAGGGCTGATTAGCAGTGGGCAGTGTACTGGCACATACACTGTTATACTGGTGTGCCACAAATACATGCAGATAACATGATATTCAAGCAGTGCAAACCACAGGAGCGTTAGCCTGTTTAGCTGAGTGGCTGAGTCAATGTTTCAGTCATGTTAACAGAAATGCAGCAGACCCTTGATCACCTCCTGCTGTCTAGTCTGTTGCACCTTACGTAGTCCACTTTGTTTTCAAGGCAGCGGACATAAAGGGACGGCTGGTCTTTTAGGGCTAGCCTCGGCCTAACATGGATACCAGACTGATAGTCGCACTTGTTTTCCTCTCCTACCACCTGAGAACTTGCCTTTTATCAGACGAGGCCACAGCTGGGGTCTTGTCTGCACAATAAGCCACAGAGCAGCTGGTACTGAAGCATGAATCACTGTAATATTTTACAAATTCCAGCAGTGTTTGATGGTCAGAGGTGTGAGTACATGGAACACCATTTTAGAAATCCTACAAAGCTGAAGCTGGCTTCTTATTCGAATTTCCCGCTCCACCTTAAATGGTGCAGGAGTTACATTCAAGAGCCTGTCATTGTGTTCGATTTAAGGTGGAATGGGAAATTCAAACAAAATGCTATGAGCTGAGTTGGCTTCTTATTCAATTTTCCCGCTCCACCTTAAATGGTGCAGCAGTTACATTCAAGAGCCTGCACATGTTTTCCATATATATATATATATATATATATATATATATATATATAATATATATATATATACACACACACACACACACTAGGGGTGGGAATCTCTAGGCACCTCACGATTTGATTCGATTACGATTCAGAGGGCTGCGATGCGATTATAAAACGATTATCGATGCACCTCAATGCACCTTTTTTTTCTATATAGCATTTATATTTTATCACAGTGTGAGCTCAAGTTTCGAGTTCAAGTTTCAAGTTTATTTGTCACTTGCACAACATGACATTTATGCATTGAAATGCTTGTGGTGAGGCTCAGCTAATCACTCTACAGAAAGTAAATAAATATAAATACAATACAAGAAAAACCAACTGAAATATATTAAATATACACAAAACATACACAGAATATGGAGACAATATACATTTTAAAGTGACTAACTCTGTGTTATTGTTATTTAAAGTGACTTGGTACTTTTAAACCAAAGTATTTGTAATGATCCATAATGAAATAAAATGCGCGGTTATGGTAAAATAAGATCCAGTGTCAGTGGATGTCCACGCAGCGCGTTACAGCCGTCCTACCCGGTTTCTTTAGTGATTTTATAACTTCGGTTTTGGTCTCGTTGTAGAGACGGGGGGATCGCTGTGTCAGTAAAGTATCTTTGAGACGGGTCGTGTGAAACATAGCGCGTAAGCCGTGTTTCGCAACAACTGAGAACCGGCGTGCAGACTGCAGGTCACATAGCAACGATGCGTTATTCGCATTTATAAGCAGCGCAGTTGGTTTCCTGGTACGTTAAATCTGCAACGAGAGACTGTCAAACACTAAAAAGTGGCGGAGCTGAAGTCAGCTTCTCTTTCGAATTCTCCCGTTCCACCTTAAATGGTGCCGCATTTACATTTGGCGCCTCAGTTAGAATTTAAGGTG